ACCTCCTTCCGCTGCTAGCCTGTCAGGGGACCAACAAAATCCACCTGCAGGCGACGCAAATGAAGATGAAGACGATGAAGACGACGATGATGATTATGACGATGACTGGGACAATTGGAGATTCAAATGAATTTAACGCGGCTTAGGGTCGGGTGTGGGAAATACAGGCGTCATTTCATACGAGGGAGGTCCCGGACTTTTCTTACTTACAGTGATACCCAATAAGCTATGTGAAATCACAGGCCATTGCTCTTAATTTTCTTAATGGGCCACAGTACACTTTTTATCGGCGTGGGCGGTATCCCGTGTTTCATGATGGGGCAGCGACATATTGTACTCTTAACATACTATCTACGATGAAACTTTTATATGCGAGAGAATGTATACTGGGTCAGCCAGAAAGGATGGAAATGTATTTTTACAGTCATTTGCAATCATAAGTATGCTTTATATACCACATAGGTTACCACACCGACTCTTTATGGGTGTTGACCGGCGTTCTCGCTTTGGTTCTTTGAAGACTGATCTTCGGCTTCTATGTAGCTTCGTAGTCCACCCCTGTTGATCCTCATAGCTTCCTCGATCTCTGCTTCCCCTTCTCTCAAAAGATGCTTACCGCGAACAAGCTCGCCCTTTTGCTTTCTTTTCTCCTCTTGTACCTGCTTCTCTCGTTCTGCCAACGCTTTTTCGCGTCTGTCACGTTCAACCTTCTTTCGTTCTAGCTCTTCTCTGTCCTCGGCGGTCATGTCGCTTTCCGGAGCAGCAGGCAAGGTAGAGATGTAAGCCTCAATAAGCGGATTCCGCACTTTAGGCGTGAGGGCGATGTATCTGAGATCGGTGATGATGGATGGAGGGAGAGCCTCCAGATTAGATGACCGATTTAGTTCGTGTAGTGGCACAGATTTTAGAAGCGCTGAAAGATCAGACTTTCGCGTGCTTTCTGACTGTTTCAGTCGAGAAACCAAATCGCGATAGTACTTCTCTCGATCTCTGTCTGACATTTGCGTGTCCTTCATCTCCGGTTCCTTTTTGTATTTGCGCTTGAACTCGGGCCAATACAACTTTGGTGTGGCGTGTTCCTGGAGGAAGGCCAGGTACTTGATGCGCGGGTCCTTCTTTTCTTCCTTCTCTTTGCGTTCTTTAAGTTCTTGAATCCGATCACGACTCCAGTTGGACCAGACCTCACGGCGCGTTTTCATGTTTGGTAGCACAGTGTAGCGTGTATCATCAATGATCCGGCCTTCTTCGATGATCTTCTCCCACGTGGAGAATGGGTTAATGCGATAGTCGTCAAGAAGATCACGGAATAAGGCCGTGGTGTCCTCCTCCGTGAGCGGAAGCCCCTCTGCGCCCTCTTCCCATTCTTCTTCTCCGGGTTCGCCGTATTCACCAGGATCAAGGCCATATTCTTCTCCCATTGCCGCCAATTGGTATTCCATATCCTCTTCCGTAAACTCCATCGGCTGTTGATCGTCCCCTTCTTCGGTTCTCGGTCGCTTGAAAGGTTGCTCTTCCTCACCCTCGCTGTCAGTAACTTCGACCTCCTCATATTCATCGCTCTCTTCCCCAACTGCCGGAGCAGCACCACTTTCTACTTCTTCCCGCTGTGGTTGATCGGACACCTTAGCTTTCGGCTCTTCTTTGGCGACATCTTCCATCTCCTCGCCCCGCTCCTTCCTTTCTTTTGCCTCTCTCTCCAAGCGATCATATTCAAGAACCCCTATTAGGACCTCCGGGGGTATCTTCCAAAAACTTTCATTTGTTTCGGGGTTGTGGACAAATCTCCTTCCCAGCTTCGTCTTCACGAGCACCCATGGCGCGCAGCCAGGAATGTCATGTTTGGTTTTCGGCCTATCCTGTGGCCCACGCGGCTTGCGGTCATGGTATCCTCTACCACCACGAAAGCCTCCGCGTGGCTGATTATCAAACGGTGCACCGTGTGGTGCAGCGCCATGCCCAAAGCCATGAGGAGCATAAGGAGTCGAAGAGAAAGGAGGAAGTGTATCCGGAGTTAGGAATGGCGCTTTATTTGAGGGTTCTGGTGCTGCTGCAGGCGGAGGCTGTACGGGAGCGGCCTGAGGCCTTGTATATGTGGATTGCTTTGTCTGCGAGTTGTAGTAATACAGATGACCTAGGTCTGATTAGAGCGACTTTAAGAGGAATCCGGGTAACTGGTAATCAAACCTGAAGGAGCTTTATGTTCGGTCCATCCTGGAGGTAACGGAGGGGGCGGGGTATACGTAGATTTAAGCATTGCGACCACAGAGGATCCGAGAGATAGCGCGAAAAGGTAACAATTAAGTGACAATAGTATAACAAGACATTCAGTTGCAGTTTGAGGCGCGAAGGAAAGATTTCCGGAGCGGGATCGCGCAGGCCGAGAGCTTTCGCAATGAGAGTTCGGGTGGTCCGAGCTTGGCGGACTGACGGTCAGCCCGGACGCTCAGAGGTGGACGCGCCAGGGCGAAGTTGCCTGGTCACCACTCTGCGGGAGCTCATCCGACCTTCCTGCACAGCTCGCCCGTCACTCATTCCTCATCTCCAATCCTCCCTTTCCTCTGTCTGTTTTCCTCCACAAAGAATATTCTCCCATAATCTACCCACGTTGACGTCGATTTCAAGATGTCACGGAGATACGATTCCAGAGTATGCCTGATTCCCAATTCCGTCGTTCCTTGGGAGCTTTAGCTGACCCGATGACGTCCGTCCACAGACTACCATCTTTTCCCCCGAAGGTCGACTCTATCAGGTTGAATATGCGTTAGAAGCCATCTCGCATGCCGGTACCGCCCTCGGAATTCTGGCCAAAGACGGAATCGTCCTCGCAGCGGAGAAGAAGGTCACCAGCAAGCTACTGGAGCAGGACACATCTGCGGAGAAGCTATACACGCTGAACGAGTATGCATCACAGCCCCATCGACTTGCAGGTCTTTTTGTGTGATGGAAATCTAATGTTTGGGCAGCAACATGATCTGTGCTGTTGCTGGTATGACGGCAGACGCAAACATCCTTATCAACTATGCCCGACAAGCTGCCCAGCGGTATCTTCTCACCTACAACGAAGAAATTCCGTGCGAGCAACTTGTCCGTCGTCTGTGCGACTTGAAGCAAGGATACACCCAGCATGGTGGTCTCCGTCCCTTCGGTGTTTCGTTCATCTATGCCGGCTACGACCCTCTCCGGGAGTTCCAACTGTACCAGAGCAACCCCAGCGGTAACTACGGTGGCTGGAAAGCAACTAGCGTGGGAGCAAACAATGCTAGTGCTCAGAGTCTGCTGAAGCAAGATTACAAGGAGGACTGCGACCTGAAGGAAGCTTGCGCTATGGCCGTTAAGGTTCTTAGCAAGACGATGGACTCGACCAAGCTGAGCAGTGAGAAGAGTAAGTCATGACTGAGCCTTGTCCGTGGTTACCCGTACATGGGTACCACGCTATCACGGTACCGTGACCTATGCTAATGCGCTGGCCCCTACAGTTGAGTTTGCTACGGTGGGAAGGACGCCGGAAGGCAAGATCTACCACCACCTGTGGAATGCTGATGAGATCAATGCCCTTCTGAAAGAACATGGGCTGGCCAAGGTTGATGACGAGCCCGAGGCTGGCGAGATTAAATAAATGAGAAGACGACCCGATTTTGCTACTTGACCAGATAATCCCACATGTTTCCTGTGCAATAATCGCGCACTTTTCTGCCCAACTTTTACGATGTAGATTCTCTACAGTCTCGTATATGTACACTCGTATGACAGGTCGCTCCAAATCACTCACGGAACGGGTGAGGCCTATAGCTGCATCTGAAGCGCAACTGACGTCGGCCACGGGTGACGTGGCAAGCCTTGATGTCGAATTAAGCATCGGGCAATTCATTGCAGGTCTACACTCGCGTCTGTCGACCGGAAATGCCCAAAGCCATCACTGATCTTGGGACATGAATGGTCCACGTAGTCTTCAAGGCCTCGAGCACCCTGGGCGCTTGAACAAATGCTGAATGTTTCGGAACTTTAATAAGATTGTGAGGCCCCATACATATAAGAATCCCCAGAATCCAAGCTGGTATCTCGTTTGCAACACAACCACATCAACACCAAGCGAATGCACCGGCCGTGAATGTGTTTCGATGTCAACCTGTCCGGTCTCCTTGCGAGTTTGCCGGCCGTGTCATGGAAGCATCGTAGGCGCGGGGTTATGGAGAGAATCCCTATGCATACCCCCAGGATCACTCAAAGATGAGTCAAGCCCACCGATTTGCAATAGCGAAATATCAGTGTTAGCTTTCTTTCCGGATTCTAATGAGAAGATCGAAGCCCGCAGAAGGCAATCACTAACTCAGTAGCTTTGATGTGGAGAGGAAGCCATCACGTGCGATGGACCGCCCAAACGCGGGGTACACAATTCCATGTTCAGCTCCGTATCTCCCCTTCCCAATCTCGCCAGCCTCTGCTATCAACAGTCATGTTACAACCATGGTAAAAGGAATCAGTTCGTACAGTTGGCCTACTTGATATGGTCTTTGGGTTGACGACTTTTCGGCTCTAACCCCGCTTCTCACAATGGCCCCTAATTCTGTTCCAATTGTTATGGGAGTCTGGTTACCTTGGTCTGGCGAGCCGCTCGTTAAGGACATGGGCGCTTATGATGTGGAACACCTCCTCGTGAAAGCTGCACGAAGGTACCAGATTTGCACAAATGAAATCTTTTCATTGGATGTTATGAATTCTCGACAGCAGAATCCTTGATTCACACTTTTCCCGCCAACCATTGCGTGGGCCTGGCGTGAAGAACCAACCTCGATTCAATCATCAGAAACAAACGGGGGAAAAAAAAAGAATAATTAGGAAAAGAAAGGTGTCAAGTGACACAGCCCCTGTGAGGCACAGAATTTACAAACAGGAACATGATCTGAAACCGAAAGACAATACCAAAGAGGGAATCCTAAGCACAAACGAAAGCAACAGCAAGTGGCCCAACGCATGGCCCCTGAAAAGTTCCCATCCTTCTTTCATGAAAGTGCCTTTCTTCTCTCGTCACGCTCCCGCTGCAGTTGGCGAATTTCTTTTTCGAGCTCCATGACGAGTTTCTGTGACCGGTCCATGGACGCTACGAGAGTGCTTCCCTCCCGTTTCCATCGGTTCAAGCGTTCCACCTCGGCGCTTCGCCGCCGGTACTTGGTTTCGATCTTCTCGCACAAGCGGCATAGTGTTGTTTCAAACTCAGTCATATTGACGAGCCTCATGCCGCAGGTCTCCCCAGTGCGGTACTCATAGTTGCAGCGGTGAGCGAAACTTGTCCAGCTCCAGTCTCCGCATGCAAATCTCTTCTGGTTGTAGAAACACATCCCTATCATTCAATCGTCAGCTAAAATACCGATCAAGCCGTGGTCAAACTCACTTGTTGCTGATACAGTTTGTTGTTTCACGTCGCTACTTTTGAGTTCTATTGGCTCTGCCAAATGCTCCTGCCGCGCTGCAGAGGTTTGATAGGCTAAGCTTGCACGAGGCCTATGGAAGGTTGCCGGTTGTTTTAAAACGAAACACCTTATTCTGAAGAACGACGATTTAGATCTCGCGATAGCTCTTGAAGAAGCTGAGTCTGAAACGGATAATGATCCAGATTCAATCGACTGGTAGGCCCCGGGTCCTATTTATGTTTCGCAGGAAGCTTCTATGTTACGGCCCAGCCAGTTCTCGTACTCTACCAGTCAACCGTCGATCAACCCCTCAACATACGATGGCTTATCGACTACGGCATTCTGCTATCACTTTCACATCACATCCAGTGCTTTTCCGGTTGGCTATGCTGGGGTCTTCCAGCTGTGGAGACACAAGTTATCCACAACCTTCCTAATCAGGTCAGTTGTAGTCAGTGGATGCTTCACGGATGCATGCGTGTTGCTGTCGTGGCGGTATCATTTCTCCTGAATCAGGTTGACTCCTCGAAAATCCCTCATTTGATATGGACGGTTTTCGTCCTCCTGGCTGGGATTGCCATTGCAGCCTTGGTTGTTCCAACGATCATCCCCGCTTCCTTTCTGCGTCTCCGTTGCGTATGGAGTCGTCCTTCGAGAAGAAGACATGCCTCACCCTTACTGCATCAAAGCTCCTGCATGAAAAAAATAAACCGTTTCTTTATTTTGTGCCAGCTGTCAGACCGTCCGTCTCACCGTCCAAACCTTTTTTGCCCCCTTCTGCATCCAAGGAAAAAACCTAGTGTTCCGTCTTGAGTGGATGGAAAAAGCACAGTTTGGTTTTGCAGGACCAGTGTGGTTACGGCTATGATCATTTAGTCTGGTTTGTTAGATGCCTTACCACCATCACCTTGTGGCTAGTCACTCACAACCAATTAGTCCGCTCGCGAACTGGCCTAGTGTCATAACCTCTGATACGGACTTTGGGCCGAGGGCAGGGTGACTCCGAGACATCTGCCCAGTTAGACTTTACTTTTTTTTACTTCTTCCCCTCTCAACTCTTTACCTGACACCTAGTATGCCCAAAGGGTCAGGGTTCTGTCACCTGGTTGCAACCCTACCAAGTTCCTTCTACCATGTATCCCGAACACTGGTCCACACAGGAATCTGGCCCCCGTGCCAATGGTCATCTCGTGTACTCCGCATGTTTCCGTCTGGCTGATATCAACCAGATGTTTCTGCATCTAGTGGCGAAAGACGCGTCACTAGAAGCCCTTCATTGGCGTCCATTGCTTCCTTGGATTTTACCTCGGGAGTCAACATGACATGCAGTTGCATGATGAGCTCAATATTCCATTAGGGACTGATTCTCTTCAGCTGATCTCCCACATCTGCAGACGAATAATCCCGCATTTGTCCCCGCTCGGGTGCAGGGTTTATCTTCATTTGCCTGCCTCCCTCGGCCAATGTGATAGGATGTCGGCTCTGTACATCAGCCATGGCAGATACTGACTGTGGTACGGTGCACCTACTGTCGAACCCGTGCAGCTGCACTAGAGCTCGGAGACTCACTGACGTGGCACGCTTCGTCTGGTCGAGGTGCTCGAATTTTCGGCCTTTCGTGGTGAAGAGGGGGGTTTTCGACGAGAAGATGGTGTACAGAATCCATAGCAACTCGAGCAAGGCAGCCTTCAGTTCCTTAGCATTGGCCTATAGGGGGTCAATGTACCCGAATTTCCGCTTGTCCGGACATCCTTCGAGATGATTGCATGAAACTCTCTCATGCGTCTGTACATCCATCACAGCATTGGATCGTCGGTCAACCCGACTAGATTCCCTGTGTGCTGAGAATCCGAGCATGGAATGATGTCGGTTGCCAACTCAGCGACTATCGGTTCTGGCTTACAGCCGCAACCTGGAGGCAACACCGGTTACCAACTGTTCTGCCACTCACGAGCTGCTCAATCTCGGTACTCGCGATGCGATTTGCCACCCCTCTGCCTTCTCTTGCAAGCTGTCTTACTTCGGATGTTTCTAGTCCAGCCTTGCCTGTGGCAATTGTACTTCCGTAACCAGGATTTGGCTCGATAGTTACGGTAAATCGTCCTTGCCCAACCTGCCAGGATTTTCGATTTACGCCTGATGGTTGTGAGTTTCTTTTGGGCTGCAACTGTTCGGAAACTCTACGTTTTTTCTACTCTGAAGCCGAGTGATCTATCCACGACGTTGAAATTGGATTTTGTGACCCACATAATTGCACCGAAATACTGGGATTTTTCAATCCCGTGACTGTAACGTGACCGCAGCCCTCTGCGCATCTACGCATACATGTTTTTCTTGCAGTCAACAAATGGAATGTCAAACGACCTTTCGAAAATTTAAGGTAAGGAAGCGTTTCCCTCTGTTTCCAGCTTACGAGTTTGGATTGGCCAGTGGATGAAAGCATATTCGACGGTGTCGGCACGCCGTAGCCAATGAAGTGGTTCAGCTGGACGGGAGATATATGCAGCTAAAAGGACCCCTGTCATTGCTTTCTAGCCCGCAAAACGCCTAGACTAGACAAGTCCGATTGACTTGAGCAGGGAAGAATCATAGCGGGTCCTCGCATCTGCACGTTGGCACCTGCAATTATTTCTCTGCGGCCTCAAGTTTGAGCCATTCAGCCTTGCATGTTGCACGAGTCGGTTTGTGGCTTTGACCCAGTGCTCTTCATCCTGTCCATCGATCCGCCTCGACCGGCGTAAGCTCCCTGCGTTTCCCAATCGGGTTTGATCTTTATGCGTGAGGGCATATCCCAGCCCATAAACATCCCCGCCTTGGGGACTATCAACGTCCAGCACAGAAGCCTGAACCACGAGGCAACTTCAATCAGCCCGGGATCTTTGCATGATCATGGTGATTACATACTTGAGTCTTGCGTCAGGCGGTCTTTACCGAATGCACGGAGACTGTGCCATCGCATTTCCAGTCTACTGGGCTTAATTGAGGCGGCATCCGCGTGTAGCATGATTGACGTGTCAAGTCTATCACTCCGATGAACAGACTTTATTCATTTTGCTTTTCCCGGTTGTGGCGACCTGATGAGTACAGCACCGTACTTCTTCCCGGCACGTTGAGAAGCACAAGGCATCCACCTCGACCAGGAAGGCTGCCTACGATCGGAGAGGGGGGGAACATGAATTCTGCCTTGCTCTATGTCTTTGAAGCGAGGCGATCACGCCGCTAGTCTAGAAACGTTCCCCAGGGGGTAGGTTTATGGGATGATGCCACTTTTCCCCTGTACTTCACGTAATCCAAACATTGAGACGCATTTCTCTTTCACCAGACTATCTGCAAAGACATTGTCACTTATCGTCTTTGCTGCCCTCGTAATTCAGAGCCCTTTCCTTGCGAACAGTAGGTATACATCCGGATATACATCGGAGATTCACGTGACCGCATGCACCCTGGCAAAGTAGATGACGTCAAGATGATAGTAGTCCAGCCAAGTTCCCTCTACAGTTCCAACACAACCCCCAAGTAATCCTCTTCAATATCACTTCTCCTAGAATTTATTTCCAACATACTACTCTCAAACATGTACGCGAAGACACATAATGCAGTTTCCCAAAGCCCATCTAATCACCGGCTAACCATTGCTCCCAGAACTATATACATCCGCCACTACTACTACACCATCACTACGAGACCCAATATTTGAAACACATTCCACCCCAATCCTCCCAAACCAAACCAAACCAATTTCATCAACCTACACGCCACCATGCTCAACCGCATCACCCCAATCGGCCGCCTGGCCCAACGCACCACTCAAACTCAACCCCGAATCCGAACCCTGCAACCCGCCACCCGCACCTTCCGCACCATCGCACCGCTGCGCACAACCCACCAGCAAAAAAGCGAAACGCGATCCGGAGACCGCAACGTCCTCGATCCTCAGCGATCTGAGAGCTCCTACACCGGGACGGACAGCGAAGTCGCGGGCCATGACGCAGCCTTTGACCCTAGTAACACATCACCCGAAGGCCAGGTCGAGCAGGCGCAGAAGGAGTCCGAGCAGCAGGGTAAAGTGAGTAACCCGTTGGATATGAGTCCTGGAAACTCGGAAGTCAGTCATGCGAGGCCGCCCCAGGAGGGAGGTCCCGATCATAATGCTGAAAAGGAGGGGCCGAGTTCAAGGGGGTGGACTAAGAAGAATCGTGAGGTGAGGGGTGGGAATAGAAAGTATTAAAGGATTGAGGATGTTGTATAGACTTTGCATTCGGTTTTTTAAATTGTGTCCAGTGTGAACGTGCTTGTTTGTCGGGTTCTGTATGGTATTGGATACAATAAGAAGCTTCAATGTTTGATTCTTAGTGGGAGATATATATTTCGCAGGCTTGAGAAAGTAATTGCTATTAGTACCGTCACTTCATTGAAATACTAGAGAACATCTGAACCGAGAATGATTTCATTAAAGCACTACAGATAGCATATATAAATACTGTTCATAGTACAACAACTCTTCTCAAACAGGCTACTGCTCCTTCCCATACTGAATAATATCCTTCCCATACATCACCCACACCTTCTCACTCCCAGTCGGAACCTCGCCATTCAAAGCCTTAACTCCAGCATTAACCGCCGCCTTCGCAATGACATCCGCATCCTGCGCCCATCCATCCTTCAATCCAGAATGAATCTTGCCAACAAGACCCGCAAAGCCCCGCATCACCGCCTCAGCAGGCCTGCTCTCCTGCCTCTCGCCAGAAATAAGCCCAGGGCGCAAGATAACCGTCCTCTCAAATCCCATCGCCTTCACCTCTTCCTCAATCTCACCCTTCATCCGGGGATATCCAAAGGATGAGTTCTTGTCAGCGCCGGTCGACGAGATCAGCACGTAGACCTTGGTGCCGGCGTCGCGCGCCGCACGGGCCAGCTCAACATTCAGA